TCCCCCCCCCCCCCCCCGAAAAAAAACCCCTAGAGGTCACATTCTCCCAATGTGATGAAAATAATGATGATAATAATAATAGATTATGATGATGATGATGGTAATAATGACAATACGATTGCTACTAAACACGGTACTCTGTGGGAAAAACCTACTCTGTTTTCTATGACAATGCTGTCAATCATGTTAATATTAGTATTAGATTCTCCAACTTTTAAAATAATTTAAACGCGTTTTTTTGCATATGATGATACAGTGACCTAAATGTTGCCTCATAAACAGTTATACCTCAGATGTGCAGTAGGTTAAATACATTTCTGATGGAGGGCTCGAGCATATTTAATCCTGTTTCATTTAGGTGTACGAATCTTAGGTATACGAAGTTTATGGATTTTTCCGTTGTGGGTTTCAATATAAGGGACACTACTGTGGTAAAGGTTTATGATAAAGAGAATTACGTCCCTTATTTAAATATTTCCTTGAAATGTCGAAATGAATTTGTGAAAAACAATAAAGTAGAAAAAAGAAAGTAGAAAGAAAGAAACAAAAAAGTACGAATATGTGCCACAGCAGCATCAGCATCAACCACAACAACAGCAATTGCAAATCTAAAGTCTTTTTAAATAAATCCCAGACAAAAAAATAAATAAATATGTGTTTCATTTATCAATGGAAATGTCCGGAATGCAGGGGTGTTGCTTCCTGAAACAATAAACAACCATTAAAGCTCGGGTGACCCCAACATTGTTTCTATCTTCGTCAGAAGTTTGTTGACCTCATACTGACCCCGAAGTTTCCGTTAGCTCCCCATCTCTATTGGAGATGGACTTCTTTTACGAAGTGTCTTACTTTTCCAGGTTCTAAGGAACACTATACCCTTATCACTGCATCTACTTGTCGCCAACTACAATAACATCGATTTGAGATACGTTTAACAATGTAAAGATTTGATTATCGGTGTAGAGGTTTTTGTTTTACACCTCTCACAATTTAGATAATTTAAAAGGCGTTCTTCGGGCCCTGCATGAATGGGCCAACCGGGGCTGATTGGGGTACAACAAAAATCCAGCAGAAGGACCGAGATACTAATTGATGTTCCCCTAAACCGGGAACCGAACTCGGTCACCTGTGAGCGACAGCCAAGCACCTTACCGGTACACCACTAACGTCGATAGGCTAAACTAAGCATGCGAATAACTTGAGAACGACAGATGTACGCTATTGGCCGATGTTAATATTAATAGTAACAGCCATCTTGTTTGACGTCATTGAGGGATTGCCACTTTGTTGTCGTTCACGGTAGCAACACGACTGCAAAGCACTATTGCAAATTTTTAAAGCCTGAAGCTTATAGTGGCGTGGTGGTAGAGTGGTTAGTGCGCTTGTCTCCAAAGCAGAAAGTCCAGGTTCGAGCCTCGGTTCGGCCACGGATTTTTTTTCGCCCCCTCCTATCCACCCATCTGTAATGGGTACCTGACTTTGAGTTAGGAAAGTAAAGGACTAATTTTAAAAATAAAAATAAAATCTTCACTAGCTCTACCACCTTATGCACGGATTATGTTATATTCTTGGACAAAATGTATTATACAATCACACAAACCCCACTATTTTCGTCTTCTCACGCCTAACACATTACTATAGAGACTTCAAAATCCACTCATATATTAAAGGTCGTATTGTGAGTAATTTGCAATCCTCTGTTTTGTGGATGAATCTAGCGGTTGCCATGGTAATGGCGGCCATTGTAGGAAAATGACCAATGTTTTGTATGTTTTTTAAATCCATCAAAGTCACGACATCACGTGCTTCTTCAGTTATCTTATATTTCTTACGAAAATAAAATAGTCCTTTACTTCCCCTACTCAAAGTCAGTTACCCATTACAGGTGGGAGGGCAGGAGGGTGGCGGAAATACTGCAATAGAGCTTTGCGGTCGTGTTGCCACCGTGAATAACAACAAAGTGGGAAACACTTCAATGACGTCAAACAAGATGGCTGTTACTATAAATATCGGCCAATGGCGTGCATCTGTCGTTCTCAAGTTATCCGCATGTCTAAACTAATGTGTGAAACTTGATCGATCGTATCAGTCAACATTCAAGAGGTATTTGTGGACAGGGGAAAAGGGGAGGGGGAGGGGGTAGACAAGCAGCTGTTGCAGAGAAAGCCATGTTGCTAAACTGGAACCCGCCTTTCCAAGCTCCTTCCTCCTTCCCTTTTCCGCCCAACCTGTCCACTCCTTACCAAACCTCCCACTCTTACCTCTGCCCCCACTCCCAACGCCACCCTCACGCCCACCCCCAACCTCTTCCGCTCTCTCTCTCTCTCTGTGACAACAACCGATTAGCAAGAACACTTTAAAAAAACATTCTTATAGCTAAAACAGAACTATTGCTGTCTGATTTTAGTTTTCACAAATGGAAAAAGGACAAGTATTTTTTCTTCTTTTTAAAAGTTAATACACGTACTTACATAACACTCCCTAAAAGCTAAACATTTGA